CAGGAATATGTCATATCATTGGTAGAATTGACAGTGAATGCAAAAAATGCAAAGATGACCATAGGTTTTATTCAATTATGCATTAGAGTTCATGTCTGAAACTACCTTTTTTTTCCTCTTGCATTTTTATTCCAAAAGAACTCTGTATTCCTTACAAATTATGTTTTTTAAACAAATAATAATTCTATGAATTGACTGTCACCTAATATTCTTTAAGTTCTGACAAATCTATTATTGTAATATAGTGTATTTTATAAGAAAGTTTCTGCTAACTGCACTGAGATGCAAAGAAATAACATCCTGAAACCAGACAATTTCATATAAGAAGCAGAAAGCAGCAAGCAGCTTGCAGATGCTGATTACTACTCTACCAGTAAACTGCATTTCACACCACAAAGCCTTACTGGCAGGACACAGCCTGCTTACAAAGTACCTCTGAGCCAATTGGTGCATGAGACATTGCTAAAAGCTTACAGTCCACAGTGTGTCAGCAGATGATGGGATGGTAATATAAATCTACTTGTTAAAGCATGATTTGGTTACCTGTGTTAAGCAAATAGAAAAGTATTTTCTTTATAAAGGCCTGGTTCTCCAATGTCCTGCACCTTGGGCATAGTTACTTAACACCAATTGTGAAGTGAGTGAAAAATCAGAATAGTGAATTGTGACATTCTTTTTGTATTCATTTTTAACATTATCTAGTTGATGACTAGACATGGTAGAAGGAATCGGGCCCTGGGTATTTCAGCGTTGTTTTTTGCTCTGAACATAGATATTTTGCAAAAAGCCTAATCTTTTACCACATGGGGGGCACAAATGATTGAAGTTTACATATAGATGCAGTAGTTGGTCCATCATATACTGTAGATGATAAATTATCTAGATTTATGCATTTTTTTCTGTGTTTTATTAACACAAGCAAGGTTAAATTAGATACAGACTTCTCCAAAGATTTTGCAGAGAGGTTTGGATCTCATTAAGAAAAACAACGTTAAAACAAGTCACTGATCTCTTTTGGGAGCTTTAAGTTTTATTTGACGATGCTTTGTTGGAATGAGCGAAAGCCACTGATAAGGAAAATGTTCAGATCTTCCCTGGTCTAAGATTTGGGGAAGAGGATGAAACACAAACATGGATCATTTCCTTTATTGTGGCAAAATAGATGGAATTCAAATACAGAGCCTTGTTCAGTTAGGGATGTTCTGCTTTAAAAGTTTAGCTTTGAAGACCTGGACAGACATGATTAAACTTGTATTGAATAGTTTTATTTTACGGTTTTTCCCCTATTATTCTCTCCTTTTCTTGTGCCAAAGGCTTTAAGAAACGAACATGATGTTTGCAGGGTGATTCTTCCCCCGCCCCCCCACCTCAGGTTAACTGTGATATTTTTTTTTTTTAATCAACTGCTTTCTAATTGCTTTCAAATATTTCTTTATCCAAATTGTACTTGCTTGCTTAATGAATTTCTGGAAAAGGTTAATTCCAGAAATGACCAGAAACCAGATTTCTTATTAAAATAAATCCAGAAACATAGACTGGAAAATTATAGTAAGTGAGGCCTAGAACAATACAGTCATTGTTTCCATTTGCATAAAATGATCTTAAGGGTTGGCCAAGCTTTTGTGTGCAATTCCTGAACTTCCTATTTTTTTTTCTTTGCTCTTTGACCATGTCTACACGAGATGCTCACTGCGCAGTAACCCAAGACTACTGTGCAGTAGTGTCGCATTGCTTCTGCCATGCAGTGCTACTAAACAGTAGTCTCGGGCTACTGCACAGTCAGTATCTTGTGTAGACGTGGCCTTTGATACCTTATGTGGGAATTTTATTTCTGAATTTAACAGTCCACACAAACAGGTGGTGTTTGGATCTGCTTCCTCTACAGTAAAAGGTGGTCTGCTGCCTTTATTTCAGTGGGAGGACCACTGCCCCCCCAAAAGGGAGGACAGACAGCCTGTGAACATTGTCACCCCATGTGGATTTTTCTGTTAAGACACTTACCCTACAATATGTCATGGTTGAAGAATATTAAATATTTCCTTCTTTCTTTTCATCTCCTTGGTTTCTGAACTGCTTTCAGCAGTTAATAGAAGGTTAGATTAGATCAATCAAGGGTAGATTAAACCAATCATAAAATGAAGCTCAAGAACGAACAACTGAGGGAGATGAAAAGTAATGTAAAACCACGTAATTCCAAAAGTGACACATTTCTGTGGCCGCTCACTGCTTCTGGCTACCAGTCTTTCCTTCCTAATGGCCTTAATAAACTTGGCTTTCTGAATTCTATTTATACAAGTGTTTTGCATAAATGACTTATTTTTAATATGTTTCTGTAGTTAGATTTTTTTTTCAATTGAACAGAGATTATATTAGCATGGCTCACAAAATTGGCTTGGCCTAGTTTGTTGTGTGGTAAAGTTGGGATGGGACGATACTGAGCTTAAGTTTAGTTTCCATTAAGATCAGTTATTTAATAGAAACAAAGCAACTGGTATCATTGGGGAAAATAACATACCTTTTACCTGTACTGTGTGTGTGCGTGTGCACGCACGCACGCGCATTTTGAAATTGGTAATATCATGACCTTTCCTGAAATCCCAGGAAGACCATGCTGTGTTAGGTTTGTTCTACTGCCCCATGAGACAACAACAGGAAGGGGTTGTCAGAATTCCCCATCCCTCCCTTCCACCCTTCACCAACAGGGAATAGAAGTTAACGGCTAATGCTTTATTTGGTGCATGAAAGGCAGCAGGGCAAATATCAGCCACTAGCTGATTTTCTAAGACATACACATCCTGTCAGAAGGTACTAATAAGCCCTTCAGGGCTAAGGGCAGTAGTCACTGAAAAAAATAAGTCTAGCATCTCTGGAAATGCCAAAACAAGAGATTTGAGAAATCTGCTTTGCCTGCCCAATACAGGAGCTGGACTTATTTTAGTGAGTCTTGTCCTCAAATAAATCCCTTTTTGTTGTTTAGGTGTTAGTAAGATGAGATACCTACTGTGAAAATAAGTTGATATATTTACTACTGTGAGAATAACAAAATAGAGTTTATCTGGAGATTTTTGTACTATGTTGTGTATTTTTATATATATTAAATACATATATAAATATACACATGCACGCACACATCACATATATCTCTTGGAGTTGATGTGATTTTTAAAAAAAATATATAATTGCAGCCACAATCATTTTCATTGTGACTGGAAGAGTGAATCTGAACAAAAGCCACTAAGAGTGATGGGGGGAGATAAAGCACGCAAGAGAGTGGCTGGGCAGTTTTTTTTTTTCAGTGCTTTTTTTTTTTTTTTTTTTTTTTAAGGAATATCCAATAAATGTGTTTAGCTAAGTTTGTGTGACTAATAGGTCACCTGCTAGTAAACAGCATACAAGCTATTTTTAAATTGCTGGCATACAGCTTTAAGTGCACTTTCCTGAATTACACTTCCATTTCTTGTTAGACTTGAAGTTTCTAAAGCTTTTTTTGTGTACCACTAAACAGAGAACTTTAACTTTTCTGTGAAATTGATGTACGTCATAAAATACTTGCAGTTGTTATTAAAAAAAAATAAACAAAGATGACACAGTGACTGTGCAGACCTCCTTAAGCATCTGATTGTGTAGTATTTACAGGAACCATTGTGAGCTAATATTTATTTTCTTTATTTAATCACTAATTGAGTTTGGCTACATGTTGCCTGTTCACTGCTACAGACTGGATTTCTGGCCCTGTTTTGCTTGATTTGTTTTCTTATCTGCTGCTTAATATTCTGCTTTCTTTAATGTAATAACGCCCAGTGAATTATATTCTTTACATATTCCATTAATGCAGCAGTTTCTTTGCTGCTTTCTAAAGATTTTCAAATGTGAACAGAGGGAAGTTGAATGTTGTCCTTTTTTCATTGTCCAGCCCAAATGCTAAGTTCAGCGTCTAATGCAGCCTCTATAGATTTTGATTTGCAACTGATTTTATTAACCTTCTCTTCTGACTCATTAGTTTTATCCTATATGCTAAAACTTCAAAGGAGAAATTGGTAAGATCATTGTTTTACTGACATCTGATGATATTCATATGCAAACCAAATGTATAATAAAACAGTAAAAATAGTAAGAAAATGAAAGAAAACAAAACTAGTAATAGGTGATGAATATTCATTTATTAATATCTGAATACTTGTATCCTGTCTTTCAGCTATAACTCAGTTCAGTCTTAGGATAGGGCTGTCCAACTTCTAAGGGGCTGGAGGTTGAGCACCAGAGTGAGTTACAGGCTACCTTTCCCGGCCCCCCCTGTGTCACATGGTACATTGACATCCCCTCCCCTTACTGCACTGTGCAGGAGCTACTGCCTCACATGCCCCCCTTCTCCCCAGCAGCTGCACTGGCCCACTATCTGGGCAGGAGCAGGCAGCAAAAGCCAGAGGAGAGAGGGAGACTAGTTGCTGGTGCAGGATCTGGTGGCTGGGCAGGTGACGGGGCCACAATTTAACCTCTCTCAGGCTGTCCAGTTGTACAGCCCTCTTGGAATATGAAGATATGAACATATTGTATAGAGTTAAAAGTACTTACTGTGCATCAGTTGAGCTGTGATAATTCTGTGTGTGCACTCTATACCACACGAAGTAGAAGCTAAACAGCAGCACTTTAGAAGTTGTTTTTTTCATTTGGGAGTAAACTATCCTGGTTTAGCTTCCACTTAACTGCAGAAGAGAGCAGATTTATGCATTATTGTGCATCTGGTGATCCATGGTAAGTCTGCTTCCTTTTTTTGCCCCTTCCCCCGCTTGTTTTGAACTCTTAAAAAAATGTTGTCCACTTGCTCAATCTCAGAAAATATATATGTGTGTATAGAAAAAACCTTGATACCTTGATAGGTAATGGAATAGTTTAACATCCTT